CAATGCCTCAGCAATCCGAGGGCATTGACTGACAACTGGGAGAAGAAAATGTTTTTAAATAGATTTTTCGCCTAATCTATACATTTTCTAGCAACACTGCAGCCACGATGCATTAATTCACTATTTTGCTCAATCAAGCATAGGTTGTTTGGGGCATGATAGGTCTCCTTTAATTCAGCCCTATCCAGTTTATGAACTGCTGGGAGAGCAAATGTGAAGAAAGACACACAGGATCTTTCTCCCCACAGCTCCTCTCCCAGTATATGAGTAATGGCAGAAAATTCACAGTTCAGCCAGCAGCAGCTGTAGATATCACTATTAATTCAGTTCTCCCTATATTGCTTACACGACAGAAGAGCAGCTGTGAAAGGATACAAACCTTGCTTATTCTAAACAATCTATTACATTCTTCTACAATCATCGAGTTATGAACGGAGACAGACATGCATTATTGAAATCTCACTATTAAAGAGACTCTCCAGGCAAAATTTGGGCTCAATCTCACATATCAAAATAAATCACCATTTCACAGGAATGCTGGGAGCTTGGGACGCTCGGCCCTTGCAGCCTGTTCCTTAAATATACTGCAAAGACCGAGAGAGAAACTCAACTTTGTAATACCAAGTCATACCAAGGTAGTGATAGGCTGAGCGCATCACCTGATACTATCAATAAACATCTGCCTGTGGCCCCTATCTGTGAGATCAGACACTGACTGCTTGAAAGCATTTTTTTTTTTATATATATATATATTTTTTTTAATTTAATTATAGAATGGCTAGAAATTCTTCTAACACAATGTATACATAATATGTGATGCGTCTTCAAAATAATATAAGCTGATATATCAGGTACCCTTTAAATTGAAAAATCTGGCCTTTCCACCAAATAGTTTTGTGAAATGAGAGAACGCCATTCACTGGACCCCTTTTCATTTAAAATGGTGGTAATGGCCACTGTGGCTTAGAGTAGGGATTTTGTGCTCTAGATAAAAAAAGAAAGAAAAAAAGAAAGTGAATTAGCTTGCTGAGGCATATGAAGAGTTAATTGGGGGGCCCGATGGCCGTCAAGGATCATTCCCCAGTACAGATCTGGCAATACACCATTTTATACAGTTTAAGGGTGGGTTTCATTACTAGGCAGTGCTTGATGCATGGCACAGGTTTACAAAAGGATGTCAGAGTTTACACTGGTTTCTATGCCATTTCCTTTGTCCTCAGATATATTTTTGTGGTAAACTGTGGGAGGGGGAGTCGGATAGGAAAACAGCTGATGAGAAAACCTCGCGTTGGCTTTTGTTTGCATGTTGGAACTGCTTGAGTGACCCCTTTTTTTGCCTGTAACTCATAAATAAAACAACTGTACATTTGCTGGTACACACGATCCCGTGACAAGTCTCTTTTCTTAAAGGCACATAACATGAAAACTTATTTCACGATATGATGCAGATATATGACATTGAGGTTTTTTTTGTGTGTGTGTTATACAGATATATTGAATAGGGTCACTAAAATACAGCCAATGTAATTACCATATAGGATACCGCACTCTCCTGAATCCCAGGGTGCAACCGGGCCTGAGGTTGGCCAATCCTCACAATGTAATTTGCAGAAAACAAATGATGGTCCGGGCACTCAAGGTAAATCCAGTGAGCAGATTTATTGGAGCAGATGAAAAGCAATGTTTCGGCCCACTTCAGATCCATTGTCAAAGGCCCTGTAGTGGGCCGAAACGTTGCTCGCTGGATTTACCTTGAGTGCCTGGAACATTTGTTTTCTGCAAACTACAATACAGTAATTTAAATTTCTGTTTAAGTCGGTGTACTGGGCCTTTAAAATATAAATGAATTGAGGATTCCAGGCAGGTTTGGTGCTACAAGAGACCCCGTTCTAATTGTGCGTAGCAGTCGGCCTGCCAAACTTTTTAATAGTATGTTTTTTTTGTTTTTTTTTTCCTTTTTGAAGTGGCATGGGGACTAAATAGGTTTTATAGCATTATGTATATATTTATATTTTATATATATTGCTGCAAAGGAGCATGGGTGTTACATATAGAGTACAAGGATCGACTTTTATCCTTTTTATCCTTTTTATCCTTTCTATCACTTAAGCACATTCACGGACAACACATGAAAAGTTGTGCCCTGTACTATCTAGAATACATTTTTATGAAGAAAATCAAGCTATAAATTGAGGAATTATTAATTGAGGAATATTGTATCATATATATTGTTCATCCTGCACTGAATTAAGATTTTTAGGCCAAAGTAGCTAAACTGGAATAATTCTCCAACAAACTTAAGCATCCATTTTGACTATTTTGGCCTTAAATTTGAAATTCACTTTGACACATATTTTCACCATTGTGAATAACCCTGATGGTAACTTTGGGAACTTCACATACAAGCCTGTAATTAGGAGTGCATTTACTTTTAACATTAAAGGACCACTCTAGGCACCCAGACCACTTCAGCTTAATGAAGTGGTCTGGGTGCCAGGTCCCTCTAGGATTAACCCTTTTTCAGAGAAACTGCTATGTTTATAAATGGGTTAATCCAGCCTCTAAAGCAAAATCACAGTGAGAAGACGCGAGCGTCCATAGGAAAGCATTATGAATGCTTTCCTATGAGACTGGCTGTACACGCGTGCAGCTCCTGCGCATTCAGCCGAAGGGGAGGATCGGAGACAGAGAGTAGGAGGAGAGCTCCCCGCCTGGCGCTGGAAAAAAGGTGAAATTTAACCCTTTCCTCTCCCCAGAGCCCGGCGGGAGGGGGACCCTCAGGGCACTATAGTGCCAGGAAATCGAGTATGTTTTCCTGGCACTATAGTGGTCCTTTAATGTAAAATGAATACAACTTTTTTTTTTTTAGTATCCATCAGGAAGCATTTATATGTTTGGTTTCCTTGTAGCCATTCAAACCACAGAAATAACTACTATCAAGGGAACCAATATACTGAATAAATTACTGAAAAGGAAGCAGTACATTTCGAATCATGGCTTATGGATTTCCACTGAATTCATTAAAAAAATCTATATTTTATTTATCGAGACACAAATTGGGTTAAACTGATTTAAAAATGTCCACTTATATTAAACCGCTTTCATGTTACTGACATGTGCCAAGATACATTTTTACGTTGAGTTAGGGCAGCACTTGAAGCACACATTAAACACTGGTGCAGCTGATCAAAGGACGCAGAGTACAAACTGACTTTCATCCTGACATGTCCTCTGTGCAGCAGTGAGAATATCAACACATAACATCAGAGTGGGCAGATTTGCACCAGTAATCAGAATCCAGATCATACTGCAGTGAAGTCAGCATCTGGTTTAAGGTATATAGACTAATGAGGCCAGGTGCTTCCTGTGAATGGAGGAGGGGGTGATCTGAGCTAGAAGGAAGGCTTGTCCAGCTATCCTCACTGCAGAGACATTTCTGTTAGCTTCTCCTGGACTGGTGGTTAGTTTAAATATTTTCCTGTACTCTTTAAAAGAGCAACTGTTAATTCTGAAATGTATGGTGCATTCAATATTGTTTATAGATCTCAATCTCTCTCTCTCTATTTATTTTTTTAACCATGCATCATTTTTTTTTGGTAATTATATTATCAGGACTACTTTCTAAAGTGAAAATGTGTCAGAATTCAAGTTCAAGCTGAATTCAAAGTGAATTTAAATATTAAAGCCAATATCGTCAATCGTAAAATATTCTCAAAGTTTGCTAATTTTAGTAAATAACCCTTTACATGTTAAAATGTCATGGGACAACCTGGCATAGAAAGTAGATTTGTTTACTACCATGATCCTCACTGGGTTGTACACTAAAGTAAGAATTGCCATGAATTCAAAGAGAATTTTAAAATTTAAGGCCAAAGTAGCTGAACTGCGAAAAGTGCTTCTAATTTGGCCTTACATTTGAAAACCACTTGTCTCAGTTTTTGGAATAATCCTGTATATGTGCGCACGCCACAAGTAAGGTTTTTTTAGATCCAGCATGTTTTACTGGATGCATAGCATTCTTTTGTGTTGAGGGCTAGCATATGAACAGTAAGTAAAATACCTATGCTGCAGGATTTGTCAATTACCAAATTTATTTTCCTCCCTCAGCATATTAATTCTACATACTGCAGAAGAGTACGTTTCTTGTACTGCACTATGTATGTCCATAAAACATGGTGGATTTCCCATCTCTAGTATCAGTAGTGAAATGCTCGGAACATGCAGTCAAACGGCCGAATTAACAATCCATTTATTCAGTATTCAGTAAGTAAAACTGCCAAATTGTTAAATTATGAATAGACGGCATAGGCAGTTGCTAAAGTGCTCTATGACCTGCATAGAAAACTGGTACGTTTCTTTCCAAGCCTGAAAAGGATATCAAAAATAAAATAGGGTAGTCCACCTGAACATGTTAACATTGTAAATATATGTTATTTTCTCGTTGTAATGACAAACATGTGATATTGTAACCATCATGCTACACTCACAAAAAAATAAAAAATGAATGGTTTAACCCCCTTAAGTTGAGAGTGCGCTGGGGGCCTCCTGGCACCATAACAAGTTCGTTTAGATAAGGTTATAGTGCCTTAAGCAGCCTAAACTGTCCCTTACATTGTCTTTTTTTTTTTGTCTGTTTAGTATGTTGGGGTAATGTGCATGGTCATATATAAAATCCATTTTATAAGGATTAACACTAAGCTAGGTTCCGTGGGTGCTTGCAGTCTGGCCACTATTGAGATCACTATAACAGAAGTTATTACAAAAAGAAATCACCCATATTCCGCCCATGTTTTACTGGAATTAATCTCTGATGAGATTGTAGATTTTAACGTGAAAAACAAACTTCCACGGACTGCGAGCAATTAGCGGACCTAGGTTAGTGTCAAACCTTCGTTGACTATTTACTTTGGGAATGCGCCAGGGTCTTTGATAGTGATGTCGCGAACAGTTCACGAACTTGCCGCGGTTTGCCGCGAACCGCTCGCGGCGAACTCTGGTCAGCTGACACATCCCTGCCAATCTCCGGCAGACCCTCCCTCCCAGACCCTCCCACCTCCTGGACAGCATCCATGTTGAAGGCAGCTTCAACATGGATGCTGTCCAGGAGGTGGGAGGGTCTGGGAGGGAGGGTCTGCCGGAGATTGGCAGGGATGTGTCAGCTGACCGGAGTTCGCCGTGAACAGTTCGTGGCGAACCGTTCACGGCAAGTTCGCGACATCACTAGTCTTTGACTGTCAGTTTAACCCCTTAAGGACCAAATTTCTGGAATAAAAGGGAATCATGACATGTCACACATGTCATGTGTCCTTAAGGGGTTAAGGCAACTGTAACATAAGTGTGATTTGTCAGGCATTTGAAGTGAATTACAAATTTTAGGCAAAACTAGACAAATTCGTCGGTTACGGTATTTTGGCTTAAAATTTTAGTTCTCTCTCAAGTCCCTGCGAGTGGGTGGGGAGGTTATTCACTAAACTTTAAATTGCAAAACTGAGTGGACAATTGTTCAGATGAGCTCATTTTGCCATTCTGTTTCCATCTGGCTACAATTTGGTGTCTTGGAACTGTAGCACTTCATATTCCTGGTAATACATACATTGGTGAATAACCCTGATATATACAACTTAAAGAATAATGCAAAGTGAAAAAATGCATTGCAAGCAGGTTTTAAGGGTCCTTAATATATTTCAAATCCTTAAATATATTGAGGTCTGTTAAAAACTACTCACAATGGGGCGGAGCTTAATTGTTGAAGCGGACAGTCGCATGGCCTCAGAGCTCTGAGCTGCAACCGTGGAAAAACCCTATACCCGAGCTATTGCTCACTTAGGTCGAGTTCAGGGGATCTTCACAACCACCTCAACATTATGGGGCGAAAATCAAAGAAGCAAAAATTGGATAAACCGAGGTCGAGTATGAGCATTGGAGATTTGTGGTGGCAGGCCATGGCGCCCACGTGCCCTAGATGGCGTCCCTCGCTGGAGGATGCTCGGACTTCAATGATGGGATGTTGGACAAAGTGGAGGGGGAGCTTTCACCGGTACTTCTATCACCAATCCAAAAGCAACCTCTACTGCCGGCGACCGAAGCAGCACCAGTGACCCAGGCTGACGTGACCATGATACCTGAGGACCTCAGGAGCCTGCCTAGCTGCATCGGTGTAGTGGAAAGCACATCATACAACCACACTCCACATATAACAACACTACACCAGGCGGTCAGAGACCTGCAGCAACAAAATCAAACCTTTGAATACAGGTTCGCTGCTCAAGAGTATAGGTGATGACATGTAATTGGTGATTGCTGGGAGTAAGTGACAGGGCAGTCACTTGCGCCGCAGCACTGACTGGGCTCCCTGGAAATCCATTGCCATGGGTCGATGAACGCGTCGCCCCGACAGGTTCTACTGTGCGGATCAGGCCGCAACACATGGCCGGCGGGCACCCAGGTCGCAAGGGTCTGCAGGGCAGCTGGGCCCACTACCAGAGCTCCAATAGGTACAATATCCAACAAGAAAGGCTGCTCTCCGGACTTAAAATAAAAGTTTTTTTATTGAAAAAATTTAAAAATAGTGACCTAATCACTACTGGTCACTATTTTTACTACTGGTCACTATCTTTAAATTTTTTTTTTTTTTCTTTCAATAAAACTTTTATTTTAAGTTTGGAGAGCAGCCTTTCTTGTTGGATGGATATATACACCCAATGTAACTCCAAGTCAATAACACTTCTGTGAAATCAAACTGTCCACTTAGGAAGCAACACTGAGTGACAATCAATTTCACATGCTGTTGTGCAAATGGGATAGACATCAGTTGGAAATTATAGGCAATTAGCAAGACACCCCCAAAAAGGAGTGGTTCTGCAGGTGGTGACCACAGACCATTTCTCAGTTCCTATTCTTTCTGGCTGATGTTTTGGTCACTTTTGAATGCTGGCGGTGCTTTCACTCTAGTGGTAGCATGAGACGGAGTCTACAACCCACACAAGTGGCTCAGTGTAATATTTATTTTGTAATATTTCTTTAATTGGAACTCAACTGCAGCATTTCTTGGTTGCAACAACAATAAGGTTCACCTCCTTTTATATTGGTATGAAACTATGGTCACTGTACCTTTAAATATCCATGTAGGTAAAATTAGGCTTTGTAGCAATCCCTTATGAGTAAGAGGAATAATTAGACAAAGTGACACTTTAGTGAGTTTTAGATACTGTGTAATATAAATAATAGTAATTGACTTGTTTGGTAAAAGTATTACTTAACTTAAAGGCAGTTCTGGCACTGGAAGGGTTAATTCACCCAATGAAGGAGAAATTAGAAGTCCGTTTCAACAAGCTGAGAACTAGGAGTGGAGAGTGGGGAAGTCCGTTTTAACAAGCCGAGGTCTGGGAGTGGAGAAGGTAGAATTCAGAGTTACAAGCCGAGGTCTAGGAGTGGAGAAGGTAGAAATCCGTTTACAAGCCGAGGTCGAGAAGTGGAGAAGGTAGAAATCCGGTCGAGGTATAGAAGTGGAGCAGGTAGGATCAGAAGTAGAGCAGCTGATCTTCATGCAGCACCTGTGCGAATAATTCAGCCCTTTGAATCTGGCGCGGTCCTCCTAAGTATCGTGGAGGGACCGCGTCAGAGAAAGGGGCGGGGCTGAGCGCCGTGAACCCGGAAGTGGGTTCCGGCGATAAATTACATGCCATGCTATACCTGACAGTACCCCCTTCCCATGGGGCATCCTCTGGGTGCACTATTTCGGTTTGGAGGGATAGCGTTTGTGAAAGGCAGTAACTAACCTCCTAGCATGTACATTAGATGAATCTTCCCAAGTGTCTTCATCAACTCCATAACCTTTCCATCTGATAAGGTATTGTAAGGAGCCACGGTGGACACGAGAATCCAAAATTTTGTGAATTTCATATTCTTCTTCACCTTGGACAATGATAGGTTCAGGAGTTGTTACTATTTCCCTATAAAAAGGATCAGGGATGTGTGGTTTAAGTAAGGAGACATGGAATACTGGATGAAGTTTAAAACTTGGAGGAAGTTTTAGTTTAACAACGTTATCATTAATGATAGTAATTACTTGAAAGGGACCAAGAAAAAGAGAGCTCAATTTCTTTGAAGGACGGCTTGTGGTAATATTCCTTGAAGAGAGCCAGACAAGATCCCCTACCTTGTAAGGAGGGGGAATTCTTCTATTATTGTCAAAAAACTTTTTCTGGTTATTTTGGGCGAGTTGAAGATTCTCCCGTAATTTGAAAAATAGAGAAGACATAAATTCATTTTTTGATGTAACAGTAGGATTGGATGAAGTAATGGTTTGGATGGGGAATGAAGACGGATGAAAACCATAGTTGGAGAAGAAAGGAGTCATTTTCGTACTAGAATGAATGGTATTATTGTAAGAAAATTCGGCCATAGGTAACCATGTGGTCCAGTCATCTTGGAGGTATGAACAATAACATCGAAGATATTGTTCCAAACATTGGTTAACCCTTTCTGTTTGCCCATTAGTTTGGGGATGATAAGCGGAAGAGAGTTTGCGTTGAATTTGAAGGGAGAGACACATCTCTTTCCAGAATTTGGAGGTAAATTGTGTCCCCTATCAGAAATAATTTCTTCAGGAAGACCATGAAGTTTCACAATATTGTCAATAAAGACCTTAGACAATTCTACAGAGGAGGGTAATTTTTTTAAAGAAATGAAATGGGACATTTTTGTGAAGCGATCCACAACGACAAGAATAGTGGTGAAATGTTGAGAAGGTGGAAGATCAACGATAAAATCCATAGAAATGGATTGCCAAGGTTTTTCTGGAATAGGTAAGTTAAGTAGTAATCCAAAAGGTTGATTATGTTCTGGTTTAGACCTTTGACAGATAGGACATGTTTTGACATATAATGCAATGGTTCTATCCTGGCGAGGCCACCAATAATATCGTGAAGTTAGTTCAAGTGTTTTCTTTATTCCAGGATGTCCAGCTAGGGGGGAATCATGAACCATCTTAAGTAATTTATTCCTAAGAATGGGAGGAATATAAATTCTATTTTTAAAATAAAATAGACCATCCTTTTTGTTAGTATAGGTGTTTTGGGAAGTTCAAGATCCTTCTGATTCAAATTCTTTATGTCATCATGAAGAGAAGAGAGGATTCCTATTATTTTGGTAGAAGGATAATCATCAGTAGTAGTTTTAGAAGGAATTCGAGAAAGAGCGTCAGCCTTTTTATTTCTATTTCCAGGTCTGTATATTAATTGGAAGTTAAATCGGTTAAAAAATAGGTTCCATCTAACTTGTCTAGCTGTAAGGGTTTTGTTAGTATAGAGATATTCAAGATTTTTATGGTCAGTATAAACTATTATAGGTTGTTTTGTATCTTCCAGAAGATGACGCCAATTTTCGAAGGCAGCTTTAACACTTAATAATTCTTTTTCACCAATAGGATAATTTTTTTCAGCAGAGCTCAAGGATCTTGAAAAAAAGGCAACTGGATGAAGTGGATCTTGTGGAGTCTTTTGTTGAGAAAGAACTGCTCCGATGGCTGCATCTGATGCATCAACTTCAAGAACATATAGGAATGTTGGATTAGGTAGTTGTAGAATAGGTGCAGTTGTAAATCTTTTTTTTAATTCGTCGAAGGCTGTTTGAGCATCTTTATTCCAATTAAAAGGACGTTTACTACTGTTGAGGAGGTTAAGAGGATGTGATACATCCGAATAGTTTCTAATAAATTTTCTATAGAAGTTTGCAAATCCAAGAAAACGTTGTAATTCTTTTGTAGTAGTAGGAGCAGGCCAATCAATAATACATTTGATTTTGGAATTATCCATCTTCAAAGAATGAGGTGAAATAATGTATCCTAGAAAAGAGAATTCAGTAACCTCAAAAAGGCATTTTTCTGGTTTAGCGTATAATTTATGAGTTCTCAGTCTAGATAGAACCCATCTAACATGTTTCCTATGTTCATCCAAATTGTTAGAATATATTAAGATATCATCTAAGTAGATAATAACACATACATCCAGAAGATCTCTAAAGATATCATTGATAAAATGTTGAAACGTTGCAGGGGCATTACAGAGCCCGAAAGGCATCACTAGATATTCGTAGAGACCATATCTTGTCCGGAAGGCGGTTTTCCATTCATCATCCTGTTTTATTCTAATGAGGTTATA